ATACATTTTTCTTAAAACAATACTGACCCTTACCATGTGTAATGCACTCTGATACTTTAAATTCTTTTCTATTTCATTTTTTTAAACGCCAGCTAAACTTATGTCGCAACCCACCAATGGGACATGACCTGCAGTTTGAAAAACACTGGTCTACAGTGATTCCTCCCCCAGCTCTATATAAAGCAATTTCATCCATCCATTTACCAAACAAACATAGAGCGGTTACTATGTGCCAACTACTTGTCTAGGTTCTTGGGAAACAAGTTTCCTGCCCTCCTGGCACTTTCATTCTAAAGGAGAAAATAAACCACAAACCCCAAAACACTTAAGATAATGTCAGGTGGCGACAAAATCTCTGAAGGTAATTCAGTGGCTGCTCAGAGAGGACTTCCCGGAGGAGGTGACCTGAGTGATGAAAAGGAGCTGGCCATGGCAAGAGGCAGGGGAGAAGGGCTATCCTGTATTTTGTCTCCAGTCTCCACTGTCACAGGTTAGAAACTGACCTTGATTCAGACACCAGTCACGGTTCTGTCTGTCGCTCCCCAGCCCTGCTCTCCCCTCGCCTTTTAGCTGCATGTTGCCCCAAGTGCTCCATATTAGAATTTGGCAGCCCTACACTGGCTCATAGTCATTCTTTCCTGGAACATTTCAAAATAACATTTGGATTCCATATATACGTGTTAGCATACGGTATTTGTTTTTCTCTTTCTGACTTACACACAGACATAGAGAATGGACTTGAGGACACGGGGAGGGGGAAGGATAACTGGGACAAAGTGAGAGAGTGGCACGGACATATATACACTACCGAATGTAAAACAGATAGCTGGTGGGAAGCAGCCGCATAGCACAGGGAGATCAGCTTGGTGCTTTGTGACCACCTGGAGGGGTGGGAGGGAGACGCAAGAGGGAGGAGATATGGGGATGTATGTATACATATAGCTGACTCACTTTGTTATACAGTAGAAACCAACACACCATAGTAAAGTAATTATACTCCAATAAAGATGTTAAAATAAAATAACGCTTGGTCTGATTAATTCTGTTATTAAGACAAACTCCCTGAAGACACAGTCAATCTTGTGGAGGGTGGTTCGATTGCTCAGTAAGGCTCAGAAATGAAGGGGCAGAAGGCCAGGCAATGGGGTTCAGAGAACACGTGTAGGAAAGCTCACGTCAAAAGCAGCAAAGATGGTGGGCATGCCTCCCCCTCGAGGCTGGCATTGCTTCTCCAGGGCTGTCTGCGTGGCCAGCTCCCTCTCTGCCTGGTCAGATTCTTGCTTAAACGCCATCTATTCAGCAAGCCTGCCCTGCACACACTATTTAAACTGCAGCCTTCCCTCCTGACTTACCTATTTGACTTGTTTATCTGGTTACCTGGCTCCTCATCTAGAATGTTAATTCTACAAGGGCCACTTCTATTCCCTAGCTAGTACACAGCCGGTGCTCAAAATAAACAGCTGTTGCATGGGTCAATAACACTCCCATTTACTGCGCACCTGCTATGCTCTGGGCTCTGTACCAACATGGTCTCTAGTGCTCTCAGAAACTGTGCAAGGTGTGTATTATCATTCCCATTCTAGAGATGATAAGATGAAGGCTCAGAGGGACATAATAAATGCAGTGAGTAAGTGACAGATTTGGAGCTGAAACCTGGGTCTCCCTGACTTCAAACCCACCATGATGCTCTCACTCACAAAATAAGAACGTTGCATACTAAGCGAAGTAAGTCAGAAAGAGAAAGATAAATACCATATGATATCACTCATATATGGAATCTAAACTGCAACACAAATGAACGTATCTACAAAACAAAAACAGACTCACAGACATAGAGGACAGACTTGTGGTTGCCAAGGGGGAGGTGAGAGGGGGAAGGGAAGGACTGCAAGTTTGGGACTAGCAGAGGCAAACTATTATCTATAGGATGGATAGATACCAAGGTCCTACTGTATAGCACTGGGAACCATATTCAATATCCTGTGGTAAACCATCATGGAAAAGAACGTGAACAAGAATACATATATGTATAACTGAGTCACTTTGCACCACAGCACAAGTTAACACAACACTGCAGACCAACAGTACTTCAATACAATTTTTTCAAAATAAGAATGTTGCATAAACCAGATGACCCACACCAAGGTCCTTCCAAAAGCAAGCTCCGGGGGCACAGAGCGTGGTTCTTTGTTTTGCCTAAAAAGGGCGTGTGGTGCATCAGCAGCAGAGATGCTTCTCTGACCAACAGCTGGTCAGCTCCTCCTCCTCCGAGGGCAGTTTCATGGTGTAGTTTTATTTATAAGCAGTTTCCATGCGCTTGTTTTCCAACACACTGGGGCACACGGAACATAAACGGGCAGAAACTCTCATGCACTGAATACCCACTACCGGGTGCCCTGCGGTTGAAGCCGGGCGTGCAGCTCTGCGTGCCTCTCGGGGTGGTCCTAGGGGACAAGGGGGCCCTGGGAGGGGACACAACAACCTTCCATTTCCCTCTGTACCTCAGGAACAAACAGCCAAGGTCGAATTAACCAGCAGAGACCTCTGAAGGCTGGCGTTCTGGGACACCAACAGAGTGGTTTTGCTTGGGGACAGGAGCTGCTTCAAATTAGAAGCTACTCTAAACAGCAGATTCACAAGGTTTTTCTGCCCTGGAGAGAGACCAAGAGAGACTCGGGCCACAGCCTTCATCTTCAGACTCTGGCGCAAAAGCTTCCAGTGGAGGGGTCAAGAAAGGAAAGGCCAGAAGCGGTGACAGCCGAGGCAGAAGGTCCCAACGCCCCCCTTCCCTGACCATCGGCAATTCCCAGAATGCTTGGGCAGAGCCTGAGCACCCAAGGTGATGGCAGTCAAGCCCGGCACAAAGGGATCATCTCTGCAGGGGAAGCTGCCTCCATCTGGTCACCTGCTCACTTTCCCCATGGTCTCAGCCACCCCATCAGCTTGGCCAGGGGTTCAATTCCTGCCAGCAGACCTTATCCCTGGCTTTCTTGATGTCTGAGCTTGGAGCCAGGAAGTAAGGGTTAGGCCCTGTGGAAGGGACCCAAGCAGGGGCAGTTCCCCAGGCTGGTGGAGCAGTGAGGGCAGGCAGGAGATCTTGCCTCAGAGGACACAGAAATGATGGGCTCCCAACTGTTTCTCAAACTGTTCAGTTCTCATGGCCTGGACCAGGCGGGGTGTGCACTGCCTCACCTCTACATTTTCAGCTCAACAAACCTTTGAGTTCCCACTTGGTGCAAGGCACTGGGCCAGGCCCTGGACATGTAGCCCATTGACCAACCTGAGTGTCTGCTATGAATTAGACTCCGAGGATCCACGGTAAGAACACAGCAGTAACTAAAAGCTAATGAGCCAGGCACTGTCCTAAATGCTTTTCACATGTTAACTCATTAATCCTCAAAGCATCACAAGTGATTCCTCAGAAGCTAACCACGAGTGTATCTGGGGAAGCAGGACAGAGGCCAGTTGGGCGTGTGCCTGGCGTGTCTGAGGACGCACAGGGAGCCTGGAATGAACGGGGTGGTGAGTGCCAGGCCTCCCAGGCCTCGGGGAGGACCTGGGCCTTCACAGTGAGGTGGAGGTGTGCGTGCAGGAGTGACGTCATCTGACTTATGTTCTAGAACAGCTCTGGCTAAAGCATTAGAATGTTCTTTGGTGGGGAAAAGGGTGGGAGCAAGGATGGTCCAGGCGAGACTGTAGGAACGAGACAGCAGGCGGGGTGGGGAGAAGCCACTGCCTTCCTGGTCTGTTTTGAAGGCAGAGCTGAGAGCAACTGTGTCTTGGCTGAACACGTGGCATGAAAAAAGAGGGTGTCCACACGGGCTCTGAGGATTCTGTCCTGAGCAGCTGGAAGGAGGGGGCTACCAGGCGCCGAGGTGGGAGATGTGAGCTGAGCGGCTTTCGGCGGCTCCTGGCATGTTAAATGTGCAACGTCCAGTGAAGACATCCAAGAAGCAGATGGGGAGACAAGACTGGAGCCCAGGGGACCCATGTGTCAGCCAAATAATGCTCTGAACAGGAACTACCGATGCTTCATTCAACAAATACCCTGTTGTGCACCTACTATGGGCTGGCACTGTTGCAGCGAATGCAGCAGGGAACAAAAAGACAGCCCCAGCCCAGCGAGTTTCCAAGAACCAGCAGGCATGGGAGGGCATGTTGACAAGGCAAGATGCCCAGAGAGCCTGAGCGGCCAGGAGATCAGCCCTGACCACCCACCTGCTGAGCCCCCCAGGTGCCCCGGGGCCCAGGCCCCTCCCTGGGGGCAGCGCCCAGCCACTGCTAGCGCACGAGGAGGAGGCGGACGCCAGGCTCGCATCCCATCTGATCGGTGTCCTATCTGCTGGAATCCATTATCGACTCTCACTGACCCGCTGTCTGCCCTTGGAAAGATATCTAAACTGCGCTGTCTGAGCCAACACCAGCGAGGACGAATAGCAGGGGACCAGTTAATGTTTCCAACATGTTTTAAGACACTGCCGGGGGCAGGGACGATTCAGAGAAGGAGCTGAGGGACCAGGGGAGAGAGACGACCTGCTGCAGTGGGCTGGAGGTCGTTCGACCTCCTGGCACGAAGGGCTGTCTGAGCCCTTCCGGAAGCTTCCTGATGGACCCTGAGGAATCACCTGGGCTCAGTTCTCCAACACCCATCCCATAGGTCTGCAGCTTCGTGTCCGTGTTCAGCGCTCAGGTTCAGGGCCGCCTGGGTTTCTGACCTCGCTAGCTGTGTGACTTTGGGCAAAGGACTCAACCTCTGTGTGCCTCAGTTTCCACATCTATAAATCAGGACTGCTGTGAACTCTCACAGAATTGCTGAGAGGATTCAGTGAAATAGTACAGAGCATGATCTAGAACAATGTCTGTCACAGAGTGAAGCACTCCCCAACTGTTAGCAATTATTATTTACCGAGCGCCTAGAAGGTGCTGGCATTAGGGTGTCTTTGAAGTGGGCCACAGACAACTTGTAAATGGCAGGCAAAGGAGACGCTATCGTGACTTACCCAAGGTGGGGAAACTCTCTCCAAGGATCTCTGAAAATGGAAGAGAGAAGAATTTCTCAGCCTGCTTGTCGAACGAATAAAAGGTGGACGTTTTAGAATCCGCGGTGAGCTTGGCACCCACGTGACCATGAGCTTGGTGCAGCACGTGAACCTGTGGGTCCTGCCCGCCCCAGCCCAGCCTGGCTACCAGCAGTGAGTGTCTGCTGCGTCCACCCTGACCCAACCCCAGGAGACGTCGGCCTGGAGAAACACTGGAGCCCAGGGCTGGGGGAGGGAACCATAGGACAGTCTGTGGCCAGGGTCACATGGCTGTGCCCCTGCCATGTCCCAGCACCGCAGCGGGTGTCAGGCTCCACCTTCCCTGCCCACTGTCACCAGAACTGAACATGCAGACCGGGCTTGGGGCGGCCCAGGTCCCGTCTTCCTGTCTAATTTCCTGCTGCATCCCTGACTTTCCATTCTGAAGTCTCACCTGGAGGGACCTCGCCGGTCTTGCAAAATGCTGACCATTCCTGAATGCTGCACCTTGAGCCTCTGCTAGTCTCCTGCATGATAGGGGGCTCCATTCACCCAGGTAGCTCAGCCCACCATCCCAGCTTTAATCATCACCAGACCCCTCTTATGCTACAAGGACGGCCCACCCACGGTGTGCCTGAGGGGCACGCTTCACAGAAAGTGGCAGTCTCCTGGTTTCAACCTCAGTGATTTGTTTTTGCCTGATTTTCAAGAATGCTGGGGAGGAAAATGTCTTATTATAGGAAAAGAAGATTTTCAGATACATCAGAAGAAATGATCCCATCACTTGAATGGAGAGAAGTGGAGGTGGCAGAAGAAGCAGAGGACTTGTGGGCAGAAAGACTTGAGTTTGGATTCACTTGGTAGTAGGTCAACCTTGGACTCCGCCTTGGAGACTCAGCTTCTCCATGTGTCAAATGAAGTAGTTATAAAGATGAAATGAGACCACACGTGTAACGAACGTGTAACGGGACTAGACTACGGAAGGCATTCAGCATTATTATTATGATTGTTATTGTTGTCCCTGTTACATTTTGCCTGGCCAGCCCCTCTGACTCTCCCGTTTTGAATCTTATGACTGCTTACACCCTTAATCTTTTTGCTATGCCATTTTCCCTAAAAGCTGCTATAATGGGGGGAAAACTTTCTCTCTCTGGAATATGGGGCGATATCCCAATAATGTCTGGCCCAGCGTGGGTATGGAATAAAGGTTTTGAAAATGAAATCAACAGCATAATCATATATATATGAATTATGATATATAATTAATTATATATAATAATATATTACCAGGTGCCACGTACCGTGCTAATTGCTTTGCATACATTCGTTTCATGTAACCCTCTCCATCTTACATGAGTTAATTATTAGCATTTTCCCCACTTTACAGATGAGGAAAATGAGGTACTGGGTTAACCTGCCCCAAGTTACATAACCGGTAAGATGCGGGGGGAGGGATTTGAACCTAGATGATCTTTGTTAATTGCCCTTTTGGCCATCACATGGCCTCATGAATAGGTAATTTTCAGTGCAAATGTAGGAGCGGGAAAACCACCTCACTGATGTTTAATCTGACATTGCTAGAGTTGAGTCATCAATTACGTGTGATGGGATAAATACATTCCAGAAGTTATGTGGGGACAGCTGTCAGAAAGACGGGCGTGGCAGCAAGACTATTCCTGGTTCTAAGTGAGACCAAGAAGCAATCTGGGAAGGGCTACAACAGAAGATGAAATTATAGAGGGTTCCCAGTCAGGCTTCCGACCCCACCACTCAGTAAGCTGGGGACACCATTATTTCCTGCCCCCAGTGAGCAATGTTTTGCAGTCCCTGGAAGTAGAGAACTAAAATCCTTTTTCCAAATCACTGGAGATCTAACTGGAAGCGGAACACAGGGCTCCGGTTACTCGCTTATTTTACACATGAGAAAACCTGAGGCCCAGGGAAGTGAAACAGCTTGTCTGAGGTCCCACAGTAGATAAGAGGAAGCCATGTGTTAGTGATCAACCTCATTCATTCATTCATCCAACAGACACTTAATGAACACCGACTGTCTGAAATTTACCGGGAGGCAAGCACCCTGTTCTCCGTGACTCAACAATCCAGACCGGCGATGTCCCACAGAGATGTAATGCAAGCCGCACTTGTACTTTACAGTGTTCTAGCAGCCACATCAAAAGAGTAAAAAGGGGCTTCCCTGGTGGCGCAGTGGCTGAGAGTCCGCCTGCCGATGCAGGGGATGCGGGTTCGTGCCCCGGTCCGGGAAGATCCCACATGCGGCGGAGCGGCTGGGCCCGTGAGCCGTGGCCGCTGAGCCTGCACATCTGGAGCCTGTGCTCCACAACGGGAGAGGCCACAACAGTGAGAGGGCTGCGTACCACCAAAAAAAAAAAAAAAGAGTAAAAAGGAACAGGTGAAATCAACAATTTATTTAACTCAGTAGGTCCAAAATATAATTGTTGTAATTAATATTTGACAAATATTAACGAGGGATTTTCCTTTTTGAGGGTACCAAGTCTTTGAAATTCAGTGTGTATTTTACACTTACAGCACGTCTCACTTTGGACTGACTACAGTGAGCTTCTAAAATACAGCCCGGTCATTTATGGTGCCTAATAGGGATTGACCAGATAGCAAGTGAGGACTCTTCTCTTATTCATATGGTCTAGGACAAGCTTGATCTGAATTAGCAAAATCTGAATTAAAGACAACATTTGATAACATTCAGTAGAATTACTTTGAAAAATAGAGTAAACGCAAAAGAGTGCTTGCTTTAGATAAGATTTCCTGATTAAAAAGTCATTGGCACACGCTACGTTAAACTCTTTAAAAACTAATTAATTTTCTTAAGATTAAACAAACCTTCAATCATGTCTCCGGCACTAATTTGCTCAAGAGAAAACTCCCTTAACAAATAATGGACAGTTGGGTGGCAGCGGTACCTGTGCTGAACAGGTAAGTGCAGCAATGAAGGAGTTGGGAGACATTCATTAAAAGCTTTAATCAAGCACCTTCTGTATGCCAGACATGGCCCTCAGCCCTGAGGCTACAGAGGAGAATGAGGATGGGCCATGCTCTGGAAGAGTTTGCACAGTAGCTGGCAAGATGGGTAATGATGTGCAAAGCTCTATGGGAACACAGGAGGGAAAGGATCAGTTCTGCCTCAGAGCACCGGGAAAGCTCCTCAGACAGGAATTGAGCTGAGCCTCAAGCGACCACAAAGTGTTTAACAGGTGGAGACCAGGAACCTTGGCAGAGGGAGTGAGAGCACTGTCACGAGTGTTTGGAGAACTGTGGGCAAGGAGACTGGATGCCTGGGGTGGGGTGGAGAAGGTGGAAAGGATGCTGGGGAAAGAGGCTGGAGCGGGGATGGAGAAATGCCTTGAAGGCCAGGCTAAGGCATTTGGATTCGGTCCAGCAGGTAACAGGAGCCATAACTGTAGTTACAGGGTTGCACATAGCAGGGCTTCAGTCAATGATGGATGAATAAATGGGTTGATAAATGATTGTAGGAAATGAACGGAAGTCTTAAAAGGGGGTGGGGTGGGTATTGAAGCCGGGAAGCCAGTGAGGTTGAGGGGCAGCTGTCCAGCTGAGAGGCGGGTAATGAGACTTGGACCAAGTGCTGACAGTAGACGGGAGATGAAGCACAGATGTTTTCAAATGACCCAGAGGAAGAAAATCCAGAGTTGGTGAAATTGCTGTAGGGGGTCACCCTTCACTTGGCTAAAGCCAATACGCGATGCTGTTGTGCTAGAGGCTGATAAGTCCCAGTTAAAAGAGAAGAGGCTCACGAAGCCAGAACGTCTAAGAGCCCCGTGGAAGGAAGATGCTGAACCTGGGATTTACAAAGCATTCCTTTTCGAGGGCAGGCTGGTGACACTTCTGTGCCAGCTCCTCATTTTTTTTCCTCATTTTACAATTTTTTCAATAGAGGTCATTCATTTGGTAAGACATGCAAAACACCTGCCAAATCAAGTGGCTGGGAGGATACGGGGAAACAGGAGCCCTCGCCCACTGCTGGTGGGTGTCTTGATGCACAGACTGTAGGGAAACTCTTGTACTTGTGCATCTGGAGGTGGAGGTGGACATGCACCAGAATGTTCAAATCAGTGCTGTTTCTAATGACGCCAAATTGGAAGCAACCCATGTTTCTATCTATAGAGACACGGATAAATAAAATGTGGTATGGTCATATGAAGGATAACGATACAGTAATTAAACTAAGAGATCCATGGGGCTGAACCTCAAAACACAAGGTTGAGTGGAACGGGCAAACTGAAGAATAATATATCCGGGATGACAGTACCTATATGAACTGTGGACACACACAGCTATACTATATATCGTATACGGCTACACACAGTAGAAGTTAAAGTGTGAAAACACAGACTGGGATTTACATAGTATATTCATAATAGGAGGCTGAGAGGAGGGAGATGAAGAGGAGGTTCAAAAGAGACTTCTATGTTGATGACGATTTATCTCTATTATATGGCAGACCCATAAAAGAGCTGAAGCAAAGACGCCAAAATGTTATATTCATTAATTTGGGATGGTGAGTAAAAGATTGTTTATTATATCATTTGCTTTATCTTCAAAGAATTTCCAAATTGAGAAAAAGAAAAGAAAGAAAGAGAGGGAGAGGGAGAGAGGGAAGGAGAAAAAAGGTAGAGTGGGTGGGAACCAAGCAGGAGACCTGAGAAACTATTCTGTGAGCCCCACCAACTAGGGTCTTCGCACAGCAGAGGGGGTGCAGATGGTGATTTAACACACCTAGAGGTTCCCTTGGGGTCTATGTTTTGTGTACACTCAGAATGACTGCTCTGGCAAAGGAAAAATAAACTCCTTTCCCACGTGTCCCTTTCTCAGCCCTGCACCACTGCCAAAATAGGGTGGGGGGTGTCACATCATTTATTTACACAAGGTCCTCCGTACATGTACACCTCCACTAATGTTATTCATCCCGTCAGCTCCTCCCAGGCTGTCCCACTGTTCCCAGCAGTCCAGGAACA